AGATACAAAGGAAGAGGAAAGTTAAGAAAATAGCATGAGATGTTGATACGAATTAAGTCAATGAAACGGCAATAGATACATTGGTTAACCATGTGGCATTTCAAATTTTATGGCATTTTTATGAAATCACCTATTTAAACAAAACTATCCATGGAGCTTAAATAAATGAGACTGTAAGAGCCAATAAATTACTTAACAAAACTAACCTTACATTATAAATTAGAACATAAAATAAATTTTAAAGTTTTAATATTTTCATATCAATTTTACATTAGAAACAATCCAGCAAGAGAAAAAATAAAAATAATAAGCCAATTCATGGCTCAGCATACTACCAGTAATTTACGAATACTAACCAATACCTACAGCACGAATAAATCACTGATGGTAGCATTAAAATGTTTATATAAAGATAATAGAACAAAAGAGAAGTGATTATTGAGTTATGAAGTTTAGTAAGATTGTAGGGTTAATTCTTTAATATGTTTACAATTCTACAGTTTCATATCGTTGATTTAATATTATTTCCATTTTCTCCTGCAGACAGAGGAAGCCTGGTTCTTTCACTAATCTAGAGATTCTAGCTTGTTAGAAAATTTTCCATTTAACTTTAGGTGTTTTATTTTACTCCTCCAATTTCCAAAAATATTTCATTATTAAATGATGAGGTATGACTATAGAAACGCTTTTTAAATTGATTCATTGTGCTTCCAATATATATTCTAGAAACCCTCAGATTTTCTACCGATGAAATAAAACTCATATACATAAGGGATTTTGTTAGATAAAGGGAATTGGTCGGGATTTCTACAACTAAAAAGGTTATTTATACGGGACTAATTAAGGTCAGCATTAGCATTACGGTTATTATTGTTATATAAATTCAATATTTTATTGTTATGTAATTTAATTATTTTTTTCTAAATTATTAGTATAATTATTAGTAGAACTATAACTAAGTTTTAGAGTGAAATTGAAAATTTTATTTAAAGGAAATTTAGGAAAATTTGTATCAATTAACTTTTAAAATGTATGTCCCAATTTAGTATGAATTAATTGATTGAATGGAGGAGTATACCATATGATTTTCTGTTTCTATTTTTCTTTTTGCAACATCCGTAATCTTCTAAAATCTAATTTCAAAAGATTTGAACCCACAACCCCTATAAATAGTTTTTTTCTAATATTTCTTTGCTAGAAGAGTGTTGATTAGTACGTCGTTCAACTGATGATGGAATATGTTGAATTACGAACGGTGGGTGATTAGAACTAGGGTGGATATAAATCGGGTTGGTATTTCATGTAAGATTGGAAATTATTGTAAACCAAATTTAACGTTACGTCTACGAAATCAACCTGCTTAATATTAGAATTAATAACTACGCTAAGACCAAAATATTTAAAAACTTTATGGATTAATTTTCTAAATTTATCAACCTTACTTCCAGTAGGTTAATTTAAAATTATGAGTCCATCATCTCTATAAATCCCTATACTATTCAAATCAATCTCTTCATACGCAGTGAGGTTGTACAATAGGGGCAGTCCAACCAATTCCAAAGACTCTGCATAATCCAAAGGTCCCATTTTTATATCGAAATTATCAGCCGAATTTTTAATCCACTGTTCGTTGTGTATTAAGACTGATTTTCTACAGTTCAAAATATTGTTTATTTCATCCTTCGAAATGTCTAAATAAATTTCAGCGAATTCCAATGCTAAATGGAAAAGGATCTTAGAGATAAATGGATAATTCGTAAGAAACTTCACTGGTCGTTTAAAAGTTTGGATTCAAACTTGATATACAAATAAACTTAAAAGTTACCCATTACTTAGATATTATGCTAGACTTATATGACGGTAGGATTTCAACGTATAGAAAAGATAATCAGCACCCACAATATATCGACGTAGGTTCTAACCACACGGCACATATTTTGAAAGGGATACCTAAAGGTATTAGTCACAGATTGTCCACTAACTTATCTAATAATAATATTTTTAATAAAAATAAACTAATTTATGAACAAGCCTTAAAGAGTAGTGGGCATAATAGTAAATTAGAATATATCGATACGTATAATTCCCCTAAAATGCAAAGTAGACATAAAACCAGAAGTAGAAAAATATTATGGTTTAACTCCCCATATAATTTAGCGGTGAAAACCAATATAGGAAAGATATTTTTTAAACTACTTAAAAAGAATTTCCCACAAAATACGTTGCATAAAATTTTCAATAAAAACTACGTCAAATTAAGCTATAGCTGTATGCCTAATATGACCAGTTTAGTTAATCGATATAGGAGAAAAATTAAAGACAAACCCCTCACCGTCCCCCCCTAAGTGTAATTGTAGGAATAAGGAAGCCCTGTCCCCTCCAGGGCAAATGCCAGCAGAAGAGCGTGGTGTACGAAGTAAAAAATATATAAGGATAAACCGAACAATACCGATAAAAACCCAAAGTTTTACATAGGATCTACCCAGAATAATTTCAAAACACAACACTATAACCACCTTAGTAGTTTCAATAACGAAACTTACAAACACGGTATCACCTTGTCCTCTTATATATGGAAGATTAAACAAGAAGATAATAAAGACCCCATTTTGAAATGGGAAATATTAAAAAATATATCACAGGTATAAAGCAGGTGATAAATTTTGTTCCCTATGTACGGAAGAAAAGTTAGCTATTGCTAGCTATAAAAGAAGCCAATAATTTATTACATCAAAAATTCTTAGTAGGTGTAGACATAGGAAACGCTGGTTATTAGAATTGTTTTTTTTTTTTTTTTTTTTTTTTTGAATAGGGAACGTAAACCATAACCCCCCCCCCAGTGTTGAGTGTTCACTGTTTTATTTGTTTTATTTTTTTTTTTTTTTAGTCATGTGGTCAGGGTCGTTTTTGGTTTAAGCTATAGATTCTGTTCTATTTTTTTCCTTTTTGGCCAGCATTACCCTAACGATCCGTTTAGGTGAAACCTGGTAGGTTTGCTTGGCTCCTTATCTTATATATATATATATATATATATATATATATATATATATATATATATATGTTGAAATAATATCTTTTGTCAATAACAGTGCTCAGTATCAGGATAGATCCACTAAAATGGCAGTTGTAGACTGCCAATTACAATCGACCTGAAAACATCTAAATTCCCGGTCATAACAACCTCCCTCGTACAACTGTCAGTTTAACAATAATATATATATATATATATATATATATATATATATATATATATATATATAGAGAGAGAGAGAGAGAGAGAGATTGTTTTAAAATGTACTTTATTTTCATGGGCTGTAGACAATATCGGATATAGAGTGTTTATTGATATAGATGATGTAGCCATAGGAATCAACACAGCACAGTTAGTGTAAGTTTCACGCGTCATTGAGATTTCCACATTGTGATCTGAAGACCACATTTAAGCCTGAAATTGACAGTCATCATACAACATCGATTCGCATGCCTACACTTTTTATCTATCTAAATAGATAGGTAATTATTCCTTTTTGTTCCTAAAAAAATATTTGTATTACAAACACTACGTACTTGATTTGTTTATCGGGTGCTGAAAAATTCTCAGCTCAATAATTCTTGCATTCCACCTTAAAATTCTAATGTTTTGTCATTTTATCAAATTGAGAATAGTTCAGTCATTCTCAGACACATACACGCGCAAATACACACACAAACACACATATATATAAGTTACGTGTATTTATATATATATAGATGCGATTACACACACGTATAGACATATTACGGTTCAACTAAAAAAAAGCACATTGTAGTCTTTAATAGGTGGCAGCACATTGCATGAAAATCATAATCTTATTGGGCAGGGATGACAACTCTCTCGTGCAGATGGAACGAAAACATAAAAAAAAACAACTTATTAAAGCACAGAAACAGTCACCGAATACTCTGTATCTTGTAAGATAGTCTGAAAACGGCTGTGTCGTGCAAGAAAATTGATTCTACACCTGCAGATTACAGTCTACATTGGAAACAACGTAAGAAGCTTGCAGTGGGTCTATTGACAGGTCAAAAAAATATTAGCAATGAAATTTTTTTTGGTATTTATAAATTTTGTGAATAGGAAATGAAACATTTATATGCATATGAAGGTTGTATCGAGAAGACAATCATCGAAAAAGTTTACAGAAAGTTTAGGTTTTAATGTTTGTGACTTATTTCCGTGTAGTCCGCTGCAGTTTTCTTTGTATATGAATAGGTGTTTCTGGTCACATCACGTGGAACCACCGGTCGATCACAATAGATAGGAAGGAGTAGATGCGAAAGTTAATAAAATACAGAAAAACTCAAAATTGATCGTTTCATTTAAGTATTTTATTTAAGCTTGACTTTTAAAAGTTCAACAATAATTGTTTAACCAGAAATTGTTCGCCATTTAATTTAAAACAATTATTTTTTTATTTCATGGGTGACTTTCGCTGGATTTCTCAATTAATTTCGATTATTCCCAAAGTTATAAATATTGTCATTCTACAAAGAATTCGTCGCAAAAAAATCACGTAATAAATCGCCGAAAATAATGGCAGTAATGAAAACTTCGGAATTCAAAATCTCAGGATTGTGAGTCCGGATCTAGCCCGGAATGTTTTCAATTTGCTCTCAGAGTCGGCCTGATTCCAAAATGGTATGATGGATTGGGCTACGGCCTCTAGGAGTAAAGTGGAAAACACTGATTTGAGAACAGTATTTTTTTTTTTCATTTGAAATGAGAAAGTTAGTGAGTTGTGTCCCTTTTAATTAGAATTATGAAATTAATTTTAATTAGAAAAGTATAGCACATTGACATTCGCATATATATATATATATATATATATATATATATATATATATATATATATATATATATATATATATATTCCTTCGTGTATCAATATGCGCTTTGGACATTGGCTTATGACTTAGTGCATAGATGTTTGATTAGAAACCCTATGTGAATTGCATGAGGTATGAAGAGAACGGTTGGAACTGGTTTCATGGTGAGGGAAAAGAGAGAATCGAATATTGGATTCTTGGCGGGAAATCACCTTATCAATTGTACATCTTACTTGGGCTATTAGAAGCCGGCTTTTCATATTAGGGAAGCTCCCATCAGTGCAGTCAGTCACGTCAGACTCTAAGTAGGCCTCCGAGACTCATCTTTCTTCTTCTTCTTCTTCTTCTTCTTCTTCTTCTTCTTCTTCTTTCACCTACTATTTCTTCTTTTATTCTTCATATATACGTGTATATTTTTTCATTAATCCAAACGTTTTTTCTCTTTCCTCTTTCTTTTATTTGCAGATTATTTGATTGATTTTATACGTGTATCTTGAAGCTTTTGTCTTTCAAGTTCTAATTTATTTTATACATACGCATTATTCAGTCCATACTGTCTTTCTTCCATGTGGGTTTTCTTTATCTCTTACTCTCTTTCAAGTATATTCTTTCCCGCTCTTTTTCTTTTTCCTCTCTTTGATTATTTTTTCTTATTTCTTTCTGTTTTTCTTTTTTTCGTTTCTTTTACCTCTTTATATCACTTCCTCTTTTTTCAACTTTTTTTTTCCTTTTTTTCTTCACACATATTTTTCTTTGTCTTTTATTATAGCTTTTTTTCTTTTAGTGGATCTCTTTTTTTTTGTTTTGTTTTCTTTTTTTTACTCTCTTAATTATTTTTAATATATATATATATATATATATATCATTTTTCTTTACATGCATGTAGTTCCTCCTTCCTTCTTTTTCTTTTTTCTTCCTTTCTTCACATGAATAAATAAATTTCTTTCTCTCATTGTTTTACACGTATCTTTTAGTAATTGCTTCTTATTTTTTTGTTTTATATATACGTATTATTTTCATTAAATTCTTTTTCTTTCATTCTTTCTATTTCTTTTTTGCTTTCTGTCTTCCTTTCTTTCTATTTCTTTCCTTTTTAGTGCTTTGTTTCAACGGATATTTTAGCCCTTATTTTAGTGTAAAAAGAAGTAAGCTGATGTTAAACTACAATGTCATGCCGGAACAATTCATAATTAAAGATTAGCATATTATTATGACTGTATCATTTCAGATTTTTGATAGGCTTAATAATTTTGGATGGCATGTATTTTTCCACTTCACCCCGTTTAAAGCGCTGTATCGCCTGAAAAAAAAAGTGCACCGCTAAACAAAAGCCCGCGTATAATAATTCTATGTAGGTTTTTGAAAGCTTTTGCAGGCTAGTTCATATAGCGATTTGCTAAGTGTAGCTTACATATGGGACAAGGCCGTCAGAATTTGAACCTGTATGTGCCAGTATGGAGCCCGAAATTAAACTCACTACCCAGTCGTAATTGATCTAGTGAAGTTTATTTAGTGATTTTCTAAGCGCGATGTGGTATGAAGGTGGAAAGTATGGGGCACCGTGTGAGGATCGAACTCACAACTCAGTCGTAATTGATCTAGCAAGATATATATATATATATATATATATATATATATCATTTTCATTTTCTCTAGACTTTCTTTCTCCCAATCTCTCTCTCTCTCTCTCTCTCTCTCTCTCTTTCTTTCTTTCTTTCTTTCTTTTTCCTTCTATTTCTTTTTCTTTTCTTTTTGGTACTTATTTTAACATCGTATTTCTTTCTCTCATTTACCAATTTCTTTCTTGATGCTTTTCTTTCTTTCTTTGCACCTTGCATATATTCCTTTTTTTTTCTTATATTGTTTTTTTTTTCATATTTTTCCCATTTTCTTGGTATTCATTTTTTTTGCTCTATTAGTTCTTTTCGACGAATTTATCAATTTTCTTATTTTTTTTCATATCTTCCTCTTTTCCTTCCTTTTTTCCTTCCCTCCTTCCTTCCTTGTTCCCTATTTTCTTCCTGTGCGCATGCGCGTATTTCTTCTTTCTTTGCCTTCCTGTTCATGTGCATGCGTTTTCCGACAACTGTAGACATCTGCAGATGAAGGAAACTTCAGATTTAATAAGATTTTCATTCCGTTTTTTTTCTTCTTCTTTCATTCTCTTTGCTTTTTTTTTTTTTCGTATTATTTTTTTTAACTCACCTATTTTAACATTCTGTTCCAAAGAAGCGTCATGTTAGGTGTATATGTTCGCCTGCATAAGTCGAAACGCTTTTACTGGGTTTTTTCTTTGTTCATTTCATTCATTCTTTAGTTTTCCTTCTTATTCGTATACATTAATGGCTATACATAAATATCAGTATATATTAGATCAGGAACAACTAAAACGGGTATCACATGCAGCTCAAATAGAAAATAATCACATAATCAATAAGTTGACATTACACTTTACTTCAAATAAAAGGTTAGGAAGGAAACCACCACCATTATTGAAAAAAGAAATTATTTCATTTATATTTATATTTATTATTTATTATATTTATTATTTCATTTATATTTATATTTTACATTTATATTTCATTTATTTCATTTATATATTAAAGAGACACTGGATTTGGGAAACCGATGTTCTTGAAAAAAATGTTTCAAAATAAATATTTTATACTTTCAATCGAAAATAGGACTGTCTGCTCGACCATTGAATGTTTCCTTATAAAGAAACGGCTCTATCATTACCATAAATGTTCTTTCCTTGATATCTAGCGCTCTAATTACAAAAACTGCTTGCCGTAAAAACATTATCTTCCAAAATGACCTGGATTGATTGGTCTTTGGTGAAATTCAATCTTTTTTGTTGTTCCTTTTTCTTTTCTCCGTTCCCCTCTTTCTCTGCCCGCCATATATATATATATATATATATATATATATATATATATATATATATATATATATATATAGATAGATAGATAGATATGTAGGTCTGATAAAAATATATCGGAGCTAAAGTATGCAGGTGGATCCGGTTGGCACAGATTGACCTTGACCTTTGCTGTGCATACATACTAAGTTATAAAGTTTCTTGCTCATTTCCGTTGATTAAAGCAGTGCTTTGCATGGAAAGTGTGTAGAGGGTGGTCGTTTAACCATAACACAGACATTCCATCAGTGACCATGACTTGTGCAGCAGTTTGGGGCTAAACACGACATTCCCCAGGGCACGCAATTCCCCAGATGTCGCCCATTGCGACTTTAGTTTTCTTTCCAAAAATCAATTCCCACTTGAAAGGAGCAAGATTTTAAGATGTCGCTATCCCCCAAAAAGGACTTCCGTGAATATCCGGTTACTTCGAAGGATATTAAATGCAAAAATGATATATGTTGTAGTTTTCTTTTGTAACATCTGACCCGATACTGACCTTATATATATATATATATATATATATATATATATATATATATGAAGAAATATAGTCTTAAGATGTGCTATATTTATGGGATATAGTGCTCAATATAAAGAGATAGAGCGTGTGTAAATATAAAAATTGAACATAGAAGTCAACACTTGGAGGTGACAGTCTGTTTCGTGCTAGATGCAATCGTCAGGCCATATATATACATATGTATGTATGTATCATTATTTATTCGAAAATTATAACATAAATATGTTATAAAATCACTACAAAAATAGCCATTTTGTGTCTAAACTTCTTGTGTCTTATCAAGTGGTGATGTTGAATGTAGAATAAAGTGTTTTAAAAGGTTCAAATCAATCAAACACCGCTCGCTATGGGAAACGCTGTTACATAAGCTGAAATGACCAATCAAAATACAAATATTTCCAGTAGGTCATTTTCAAAACTAGACAATTCCTTAAATATTGGTGCTGTCTTTAAACTTTTCAAACCATGATTTTCATGTTCATACAAATAGTCCTTGTCATGAAGACAAAAGTAAGCTTTCAATCTCATTCTTCTGATAAGGTTTTCTGTTTCTAGAGTTAAAATGGACGAAATAATCCCGTTTGTTCGTGTTTATAACATATTTATGTTATAATTTTCGAATAAATAATTATATTTGCTCTACTCTGTATTGAGCACTTTTTAAGAATAGTATTTGTTGGTTATGCCGTATATACCAATCCTATACTCATATATATATATATATATATATATATATATATATATATATATATATATATATATAAATGAACATAGAAGACAACACTTAGAGGCGACAGTCTGTTTCATGCTTGATGCAATTGTCAGGCCACCTAGCATCTAGCATGAAACAGACTGTCGCCTCTAAGTGCTGACTTCAATGTTCACTTTTATATTTACACACGCTCTATTTCTGATATTGCACACTTTATCACATAAATATAGCACATCCTAAGACTATATTATTTCATATATATATATATATATATATATATATATATATATATATATATATATATATATATATATATCCTTCTTGAAACGTTGTGGACTGGCACTACAGAAACACAAACAAAAACTGTACAAAATAGTAGAAATCACGTGAGTTCTTGCAACATCAACAACAGCTGAAATACATATAAGAAGAAAAAATGACATGAGCAAGATGTAGACATTCAACAATACTTCCAACAAAAGGTTAGAAACGGAACCCCTCCCATAAATAATAGAAAGAGCGATAACAGCTACTGCGTTTGAGAAACCTATTTTCTTGGAAAAACTGTTTCAAGAGAAAGATTTTATAAATTTAAACCGACCCCAGTACTGGCTAGTCGGACACTGAATACCGAATGTTTCCTTATAAGGAAACGGCTAGTCTTACCATATTTCAGACATTTGTATGCATTTCAGCCTATATATCTGGTTGCAAAATCACCAATGTCAGTGTCTGAGTGATGAACGAGTCAGAGAAAGGCGAAAGTACAAAAGAATCTTGTTGCTTTGCCAAACTGTTAAATGACTTCACGTAAAGTTTGGAGCAGCTGAGACGTTGTGATTGAAGTTTATTTGATAAAATGAAATATGTGTGTCGGTCGAGAATCGGGTGTGGACACTCGAGAAGGAATGGAAAGTAGAAGGATAGACGATGTGGCTGGGCAAAATGTTTAACAAAACAATAAAATATATTTAAACAGGAAGAAAAGAAGAATGGGATATCCTGATAATATAAAATAATTTTTCGATTAATATTTTGCATCCAATAAAATTAGTTTCCTTTCGATTGTCTGTGTGGAGGTGGTGGCTTTGTAGTTAGTCCATCGATCGATAATACCGTTCATCGTAATATTGTTTATTTCTTTTTTTTTTTTTTCTTTTTTTTTTTCGTTTCTGGGTGGAGTTTTTTTTAATTCTTCACTGCGTATTTCCCTGATTTGTTAACGATTAAGTTGATTTTTACGACTGTAAAACGAATCTGTCTTAATCGTATAAGAGAAACTTTTTTTTTCTATCATTATGTTTGATGCTAACCCCCAGGAGTGAAGTGGAAGGATTATATTGAATCATTTTATACGAGGAAAGTTAATTCATTGTGTCGTGGTAGGCAATTTTTCTCGCCAGAATCTACCATTCGTCTATGAATTGAACATTATTTTCACATCTGGTGCTTCTGATATTTATCTAAAGATTCGTGATAAAATCCAAAGAAGAAATTAGAAAGTTATCGGTCCTGACCTGATATCTCGGTTTCAGTCACTTTTTCCACCGCCGTAATCTAGCTTCTCTTTTTTATATTTTTATGACAATTGTTCTTCAGTATCTCGACTTTACGAATTTAAGCCTTGTAGTTGATTGGAAGCTAGGCCTCATCTTTTTACAGTTGAATGGGTAGATGTAACTGTAAGCTAATAGTTTTTTCTTTTGTACTTCTCGCTTGTGGTTTTCCAGTCAAATATGATCATCAAAAATTTAAATGCAATGCCAAATGTTATCTTTTATCTTCTTAATTACAAATCTTTTATTTTTCTCTCTCTTTAATAATATTTTTTCATTTTCTCATATTCTTTTATAAAGTAGTTGTTTACTTCAAGATTTCAACAATGTGTTGGCCCGATGTGATTTAGTATTACAGACTTTCGTAACGATCTCCACTATCCCATAACCACGCGGAGTTCACTTCTTCTTCTTTTATGTACCCTGCGTTCGTGGTCCTCCACATCTTCCTGTTCCTTGTAGTTTTGTCTATTTCTTATTTCTCCCACACCCTGTTCTGCCATCCATTTGCACAAGCCGGTTAAGTATGTCACGAGTTGCTTTCCCCTGTCTCACTTTCTCTCTATCCGTCCTGTGACTATCAGATTTTCCAAACCCTCTTTCCTCATTACTTGTCCCAGAAATTTCAACTGCCTTTTCTTGATGTTAAGTCTAAGTTTCCGTTTTGTTTTCATTCTCTCCAAAACCTCATCGTTGCTCACGTATTCAGTCTCATGTTATTCTCAGCATGTTTCTGTAGAACTAATCTTATATATATATATATATATATATATATATATATATATATAATATAAAGTTACGAAATATACAACGTATGTAAGACGGAATATGTGAAAACTAGTTGGTTATTCATGTTTTCTTAATCTGTTTTCAACATTTTGTTGAATAAGAACATTATCAGATTAACTGAAAAAAATTACCATTTCAACCTTTTAACTTCGAAAAGCCATGGTTAATTTCAAATTTGTTGAAAATTTAACATTTAATAAAATAAAAAAAAAGATATATTTGTGAAATGCCTCTTACTGACGTTAAATATAAGTTATTTTTTTGTTTTCATTCTCTCCAAAACCTCACATGTTCGGCGCTTATGAGCCGATAACTGCCGCATCTCCTATTAGAGAAATTGTTCTTCTAATTCCATGTGCCGTGCCTCTTCAGGACGTGGGTGATCTTGCCTCTCAACAACTTTCTATCCTTTGTAACTCTTAGAAACTTTTGTCTTTTTGTCTCTCCTAATCCCCGTTCTATCAACCATTTACACAAGGTCTCTAGGCACGTTATTCGCTTTTTTCTTTTTGTCCGTCTTGCCTTCAATATGTCCTGTCAGTGTCGAATTCTCCAAGCCTTCTTTCCTCATGATGTATCCTAGAAATTCCAGTTGTCTCTTTCTGATTCGGGATATAAATGTTCTTTTTGTTTATATTTTCTCTAAAACTTCGCAACCTTCTGTAGAACCACATTTCGCTTGACATTGACCCTGTTCTGACATCTCTTTTACAGTCGCTCTCTCATAGACGTGCCGTCGTCTTCCTCTATCTTTTCTTTCACGGTAACTGCTCCGACGAACTACTTTCGGTAGTTCCAAGTCTGCATGAATTTAACCGCGCAACTAGGCTGGCATCTCGGCTCCACCCTTTTCACTGCCGAAACAGTTAAATGTAGCCGTCTCTTCTACTCCAAGAGCTTCATGTCTCGCACCTCCCGTCTGTGGAATTCCCTTCCTATTACTCGATAGCTATAATCGCCAAATATTCAAATGTAATGTCTATCGACATTTCCAGATGCCTTGATCTATTCCCTGTTCTTCTCTTCATCCTTTACTCTATGACGCCTCTTTACTCTCGCCCCCCCTCTCTGTAACCCTTTGCGTGATAGTGACATCCAGCCTTGCTTGGGGTGAAATGCTTGAAAAAAAAACTTTATCTGTGAGAAGGTAGTAGCAATATTCCAAACAGCTCAGAAGTCTTTTGTTTGTTTCTAATGGAATTTTCTGTTTTCTTAATACTTTGCTTAGCTTTTCGAAAGTCTTTTTTCGCTATTCCAATGCACCTTCGGATATACGTTCTATCTTCTTACAACTGAATCCATAGTCCTTTCTTCTCGCTTTCATTTAACACATTCTGTAGTTTTCCTTTGTGTATCAGCTGTCAACACTGTATCGCCTGCATATATATATATATATATATATATATATATATATATATATATATATATATATATATATATATGTCATGATAATGAATCAAAGTGAACAACGGGCTTCGCCTACGGTTGATAGATAAGTACAACAAAACTGTGAGTAAGGAAACATATTTGTAGAGAGAAAGAGCAATAATTTCCCCTTATCTATAAACAGAAATAGTTAATGTTGTTTTTCTGGCCTGCAATCTATCGCTGGGAATTGTGAGATCAGCGCATATTCAACGTATTTTCTTCTTTTTGTCTTTTTTGTCTCTTGATCGAAATTGTGGTTAAAAATGAGTCCGCTGAGGAAACACCGGATACTGCAATCTACCTCTTGCAAATAACCTGCATATATATAAGATCCAAGAGCGCATAGAGGTCACTAAAACATTAAAAGATTAAATGCCGATAACTACTCGCTGGACAAACCTTAATTGTTTTATGACCCTTCACGCAGAACTCTTCATTGACAATTCTAGAAAGAAAATTCGGATTGCCAACACACAAACAGAATGTCTCATATCGAGAATATTCCACATTGAACATGAAGAAAAATTAATTATTTTTAATAATATGTAAAAAATTCCACTTTCACCTGAAGACGGTTGCGAGACCAGACCAGAAACACGTGTCGTGAAATTATGTAAAACAAAGTATAATATTTTTTCTCAATAAATCCACATTACAACCAAAACGTTTGCGGCACCCCTCTTCTTTTTAATATACATACTTTTCTCTCGTTGGAACCACTACAACATATTTCTTTTATATATATATATATATATATATATATATATATATGTGTGTGTGTGTGTGTGTGTGTGAATAACCTCCCAATGTGGAATGAGGTTCATATCCGTAGAGCAAGAGGAAGCAGTAAGTAGGATTTAACTCTAAGGAAGTGATATTGGAGGCAAAAGGGTCAACCTAAAATTTAACTTGGCGAAAATATTGATCATATTGCTCTGTATAAATAAAATACATCGAGGTCTCTTTTGTTGATCAGTTTTAATACTTTTATATTATTAGGACCCACTTGGATTATATACCCACGGATTTATTTTACCTTTACTATATATATATATATATATATATATATATATATATATATATATATATATAATTTGTGTATTGAGGCAGCAATCCTTCTTTCAGGCACATTTCATTGAATTCATAGACAAGGTGTTTTGATTTAGTTTTTATACAATTTCTCTTTTTTTTTTCTTTTCACCTGATAAATTATATAAAAACTGTCCGAATGTTCTTTTTATCCGAGCGCTTTCGGCTATACATTTAGCCATTTTCAAGGTTGAAATATATTAACTGTTAACAAGAAATAGCTTGTTGTATGTATGTATTTATATAATGTTTTCATATTCAAATCACGGTCAAGATATTGTCCATGTTCATGTGAGGATCGAACTCCGTATTCCGTACTTGATCTAGCGAGACAAACTTGCTATTAAACCACGGCGAAGCACCCAAGATACTTATCTAAGCTTAGCTTAGATGTGGCACAAGGCCGAAAGTATGGCGCACCCGGTGCGGATCGAACTCACTGCTCAGTCGTAATTGATTTAACAAGGCACGCTCACCATTACACCAATTCGAAGCGACGAAGATGCTTTTCTAAGCTTAGCTTAGATATGACAAATAGGTCGAAATTATGGGGCACTCAGTGAGGAACGTACTCACTACTCAGTCGTAATTAATCGGGCGGAACAAGCTTGCTAAACCTTACAGTACGTCGAAGCACGAAAGATGCTTTTCTAACCTTAGCTTAGATGTGACAAATAGATTAAGAGTATAGGGTAGCCAGTGGGGATCGAACTCACTACTCAGTCGTAACTGATCGTGCGAGACAAGCATTGGTTACTTTTTGCATGACAACGAAGTGCATTGTTCTTTCGTCAAGTGGGGTGCATCATAACATTTGGAAAAGAATCAACTTATTAGAACATCGTTGTTTAACGTTTCTGCATCAAGTTTGTGTTTCTAATAAAGAAAGTTCTTTATTTACATTATTCGGTCTACCCCAGTGAGCGAAATAAAACGTTCAATGCGACATTCCAACCACCTGAAGAAGGCCAGGCGTACAACGGCCGAAACGTTGTAATAAATATAGCGACAAAGATGAGGACAATAGTCCGAATAATGTAAATAATGTACATAATACCTCATCTCAGAAATATAGACAGATACTGAAAGGCCGAAACGTTGTAATAAATATGGCGACAAAGATGAGGACAATAGTCCGAATAATGTACATAATACCTCATCTCAGAAATATAGACAGATACTGAAAGGCCGAAACGTTGTAATAAATATGGCGACAAAGATGAGGACAATAGTCCGAATAATGTACATAATACCTCATCTCAGAAATATAGACAGGTAGGAAAGAAATTTCTCACCTTTATACAAAACCAGCTAAGAAAAACTGACTCTCTCGTTGTTGGCTTTTTTTTTATCAAATTTTAGCCGTTACATCAATAAACCGGTTTTCGGTAAATGCCGGAAATTCGAGCGGATTTTGAACTCTTCCAGTTGATCTCTCGTTCGGAGCCTTTAACCATTAAACCACCAGCATATCCAACAATTTCCTCTTAACTGAGATCAATGAATCTAACCTAGCTTGAATGGCTTCCTGAAATAGTTTTTTTCATTTGAAATGTCTCGTCGTTCTATCTGACGGTAAGTACTCACTCCATGTATTTTAAGATCATACTTGTTTGACGTCAAAACGCTTTATTTTCTCAATCCTTACTTTTTATTTAGTTAGAATAGAAATAGAAATTTAACAAGAAATCGTGAGAATTTTATTAATTTAAACATGGAGAAATAATCAGAAAACCTACGTTCAAAGGGAAACAAAACTTTTTGACAGCGCGTTAATGTTTCTTGCTGTTCCTATCGAAAGCGCAAGACAATTTTGTTTTGAATTGAATACATTTTTTTTTATATTTTTCAATTATATTAATTTCAATTCGTGTGAAGCATACTATCTCGTATAATGAGTTTGGTACTACTGAGATGTTTTGTGCAAAGTCAACTATTCAGACACTTCAAAGACAGTCTCTCAACTGGCAGACTTACAACCATCGTGCGGTCTTTATGCTCGCTGACACATGAAGTGACATTCACAGCATTAATACAGAATGCATTGTATGTGGGTTGGTCGAATTGAATGTGAAATCAATTCGATACTGGGAATGAAATCAAAACAACAAATGAAAAGTTAACTCCTTCATTCCTCTTGTTTATTTTATTATTATTTTTTATACGTGTTTTCTTTTAAAACTTTCTTTGTTCGCTTTTTCTTTCTTTTCCTTAGGAATGGCACGTTATTCCGCAATATTTCTTCTTCTTCTTCTTCTCCTCCTCCTCCTCCTCCTCCTCCTTCTTCTTCTTCTTCTTCTTCTTCTTCTTCTTCTTCTTCTTCTTTTTTGTTTCTTATTAGACTGCTGGTTTGTTAGCTTTCCTCCTTCTTCACAACTGTCTTCTTTCTTCTCACATTCTTCTTCTTTTACTTCTTCTTTTTTAAATTCTTCAAATTCTTCTTCTTCAAATTATTTTCGTACTTTTTATTTTTCTATAGTGGAATGTAGCTGTTGGTAGAACAAGTTTTAGGAGAAAGAGCCAAAACATTACTAACTACAAAGGACAGGAAATTATGGAGAGCTGTGATCACCCACGTCTAGAAAGGACACGGCACACAGAAGACGTCTCTTCTCTTTATCATTATTTTCTTCTTGTGCTACTTTTTTGATTTCTGCTCTTTTTTCTTTCACGCCATTTCATTCCACCCCTTCTCCCCAAGTTTAGTTCATTTTTATACTACTTTCATCTTCTCCTTCTTCTTCTTCTTCTTCTTCTTCTTCTTCTTCTTCTTCTTCTTCTCCAAGTTTAGTTCATTTTTATACTACTTTCTTCTTCTTCTTCTTCTTCTTCTTCTTCTTCTTCTACGTCTTCTTTTCTTTCTTTCATTATCTTTCCTTTTCTTCTTTATTTTCTTCTTCTTTTCCTGCATTTCTTTCTTTTCTTCATTTCATTCGTCTAGATAACACCTACTGA